ATTAATACTCCCAAACATAATTCAGTCAGATTCTTCTTACTGTCTATTTTCACCCAAAAGATGGAAGTGGCCAAAGTCATGGCCCAACCCATGGGCGCTGAAGTGTACTTAGACTGAATGTGAGTGTAAGCAGAAGCACATGGGCCTCATGTATTGTATTGATGGACTCTGCCAGCCAGCCAGTACCCACAGGGCATCAGTGTACGTACTGTGGATTAGTAACATATGCGAATACCCATACTGTATTTAATTCTGGAAACTTAACTTTGTCTTAGACTTACCTTCTTCATAACTTTTCAGACACAGCTTCCAGTTTAAAAAAAAAAGTTCAGCTCCAAGTGACCACTGCTTTGTTGTCCTTACCCCAATACATGTTTTTCCCACCAAGATATAGATTGGATTTTCTTTCCTAATACTGTTGGTTGTTTTGGGTTTTTTTAACTGCTAATCAACATTTAAAGTTTTAGACTCCTTCATAAAGCTACTTTATTTTGAAATCCAAATAACTGGCCTGTATGGGCTTTCGTCACAAAATACTATTAGTAGGTTTATGCTCTTTACATTTTTTAATCCATCATGTGCGCAGTATGAACTTGAGTACCTAATAAAATGAAGGTCACAGTGTTTAAAAAGCATCTCTCTCTGGTTCAAATGTTTTGCTATCTATGCAGGAATAAGTTGTGTGCTGAATTCATTTTAACCCTAAAAATATGATTATTAAACAAAATTTCCAGAGATAAGTCAGGCCTTTAAGTGAAAAACATCTACTCTCAAATATTAAAAGTAAGTCAAACACTACAGTGAAACCTTTTGATTGTGGCCTGTTCACTACTGATAAGACTTTTCCCTAAAATTTTACTATGTGCCAAATACAGTTTAATATTCACTACATAAATATATTTTATTTTTATTGACATATAACATATTTGTTTTAGATGTACAATATAATGATTCAATATTTGTCTATATTGTGAAATAATCACCACAGTAGGTCTAGTTAACATCCATCACCACAGTTAAAGTTTTTTTCTAGTGATGGGCGCTCTGTAAGATATACTCTATTAGCCACTTTCAAATATACAACACAGTATTATTAACTATAGTTATTAAGCTGTACTTTATAACCCCAGGACTTGTTTTCATGAATATATTTAAAAACAAAAAGAATAACATTCTAATGGCACTGACTTAAAGCTCTTGTAATGAATTTGATGCTCAAAAATATGGCACTGATAGTTCTTTAAACTCTTAGCATCCAATAACTAGCCTTAATAAATGTTAATGAATCCAAAGACGGAAAACTGATAACTTCCTTATGAATTTAAAAAACAACTTTTGTAGAATTTTCTAGTTAATGAAATTATTGCTTAATCCTGAGATTTCCATAGGATTCTAATGAAGCATCTAAGAGTCTAACACATTTGTTTCGATAAATGATTGGCAGAAGTGATTCCATTCTACCTTGATACAGATTAAGTTCATGTTCTATATGTTTAATTTTCAGTAGCTATGGAATTTATAGCAATCAAACTATAGCAATTGCCCTGTCATTTTGTTGTATCTCTATTAATAAAATGTTTTAATGACCATGAACAAGGAGTTATGAATCATCTTAAACCTATTTTCTTACAAACTATTGATAATAAATATCAAACATTATTATCAGCTCTGTCAAATATAGAATAGTAAAGTAAATATAGCTCTGGTTTGAAAGGGTGCAGAGCAATTAACACTCTTAAACATTCATTTTAGGGTCAAAAATGAACACACTATTATGTTCTAAACACCCTGAAATGTTCAAAACTATTGTACACCTGATCCTTCTTCCTTTTTTTAAAGAATCCAGACCTTTTCACTCCCCCTCTACCCCATAAACACATGTAAATTAGCCCAACTCCAGGAATGAACTCAGATTATGTCAATTCTGTAAATTTCTTGCCCATTATCAGTGTTTTAAATGGAATGGGCCTATGACCCAATTCTGACCAAACCAGTTCTAAAAGAAAGTTGCTGGAAGCTTCTGGAAAAGTTCTTTCTTATTAGCACACATATTTAGTGTTAATCACAGTCTTTGTTTATAATATTTAAAAATAGGCCCTGGCCATTTTGCTCAGCCGTTAGAGTATTGGCCTGTGGATCAGAGAGTCCCAGGTTGGGTTCAGCCAAGAGCAAGTACCTTGGTTGCAGTTTGTCCCCGCCTCGGTTGGGGTCATGTGGGTGGCAACCACTCGATGTGTCTCTCTCACATGATGTTTCTCTCTGTCTTTCTTCCCCCATCTCTCCCCTCACTCTATCTGAAGATAAATGCAAAAAAAAAAAAAAAAATGTCCTCAAGTGAGGATAAAAAAAAATTGGAAATACCGAAATGTGAAATAAACTGATTTATCAATCAACCAGATTGTACAGCTAATAAAAATTATGACTTAAGTCCTTTGGTGATAAATGTCCCAAATAGATTTTTCTGTGAAAAGAATAAGCTAAAAATAACATTATACTTTTTTTAAGTGTACTCCAAATAGCACTCTAAATATACATTCTGTTGATTGTGTCTATCAACGTCTATTTTATTAGGATCCCAGGGTACCTCACAGAATCCACAGAAATGCTGAATAACCAAGCTTCAAGAAAGCAGAAAACTGGACTGCTTTGAGAACTTCACATATGAATCCTGGAACTCTAAAACATCAGAGTCTCAACTTAATGAAAGTTGGTCCCATTCTTTTACAGTCTCTGCACATGGCAGATCAGTGGTGGTTGACAGTCCAGTTTTGCCACCAAGAGGTAGAGAGGCGGCTTCTGTTCCCAACCTACAGTTAGAAAAATGTCAGGAAATGACTGGTACATCTTGGGTTATACATAAACCCCCTTGACCAAATCCTGGAAGCCAGAAGGAAGTCAGGTACGTGCCTCCTGGCCTGTTGTGGGGACCAGGAAGGCAAGGCCTTTTCTAATTACATGTCTATAAAAATAGGGGCAGAATCTGAAGAAGAGGAACAGTTCTGTCCCAGAAGAAAAGAGTACCAGGCAGGCAAATATTCCTACATACACTTGAGTGAGAATCAGTTAACTATGAAAACATTTTACAATTCAAGTGAATGTCGCTTTCTCTTTCCACATAAACTGAGAGGTGAGCATGTGTATTTATAGTTTACAGTAGGTATCCTAACCCCAGAGAATCCCCTTCTTCAATAATGGTGTGTTACTTGTGTAATAAAGTGTGTGTGTGTGTGTGTAAGTAGGTATCATAGGCTTATGGGTACTAATAGGGAAATAAGAGCATAGATCCACCAAATCGAAGTTAAAATAAACAGTAAATAAGCTAGTGTGGAATTTTGCAAGTTTCAGTTGAGTGGAGTGGTTTTGTATTAATCTTGGTGTTATGTTTTTCTTGCCCTCCAAACTTGATTTATCTACAAATCTACAAACATTTTAATTATATAAATAGATATCTCAGCAAAGAACACTTTTGGCTCCTGGGATCTTGTGAAGGAACATAGATTCTGGCATCTTATACATAACATTTGTAAGTCTTTCTTTCTTTCTTTCTTTCTTTCTTTCTTTCTTTCTTTCTTTCTTTCTTTCTTTCTTCTCTCTCTCTCTCTCTCTCCTCCCCCCTCCCCCTCCCTCCCTCCCTCTCTCTCTCTGTTAATGCCCTTTGGACTCTTGAGTTGCCATATAAGAGAGGTCTCTCCAGTTATCGTGCCAGAGAAATGAGGCACCTCTGATTTTAAAATAAAACATACTGGAAAAGTACACTTCTAGGAGGAATAACAGCATGCACAGAACCATGGCTGTTATTAATATTTGTGCAGAGTGGACAAAACCTGCGTGCCCCAAAGCCGGCGGTCTCTGCTCGGATTCCTTTCTGTGTGAGCATGTCACCCCAACCGCACCTGTGCGCCAGGCCTTCGTTTAAAGCTTGCCTTGGAAAGTTGCCCTGGCATGATTGCTTATTGATAGAGCAGCTCTGCTTCCCAGTACGTTTCATACATCCTGTCTGAGCCGGTTTTATTGCCGAATGTTACCCACGTTCTGATAACAAGGAGACGCTGTGTCCTCCCGGGTGAACTCACTCCCCGTCCCAGAAATATAGCGTGACTCCCCTCCCCGCCGGAGCTGTAAAAGTGGAAACGAGCGCCGCCCTCCAGCACCTGCGCCTCCCGCCCCGCGGCGCCCCGGCCGGAGAGGGCTGCGCCGGGCACGAAGTGCGTGCGGCCGCCCGGCAGGCAGGTCACGCAACCCCGGGGACCCCGCCCCGCCGCCTGCTCTCGCCGCTTCCGCGCTCGCTGGGGCTGACTGGCGGCTCGGAAGCCGCCTCGCGTGCCGACCCGGCCGCCTAATCCGGCCAGGAATCCCTAATTCCGCCCAGCCCCCGGCGCGCCGTGTCCTCCGCCAACTTCAGCCCGAGCGGGTGATGCCCTCGACTTAATACCGGAAAGTTTCCACCTTCGCTACTGTAAAGCAAACACCTCCGGCGGCAGAACGGGGGAGGAGGGGCACGCGGGCGAGGAATCGGTCTCGCCCCGCGGACCACTCAGCTCCCTGAGCGGCCCCGGCGCCTGCCGTGCCTGTCGCTCCGTCGGGGGGTCGCCGGCTGGGCGACCACAGTAGCGTGACAGCCTCGCGCCCTGCCCTTCGGCGTAGAAGAGGGCGCGGGCGGCCCGCCCCGGGCAGGACACCCGGGAAGAGACCCCCCACCGCGCCCGGCTGCCGGGAACCAGTGCGCCAAGCTGCGTTGCCAGGCAACTGACCCCAGCGACCTGGCGCCTTCTCCCGAACTGGGGTGGGGTGGCAGCTGTGCGTCAGGGGGCGGCGAGGGCAGGGCCCGCTGGGGCTTCACAGAGTGAAGGCCGAGGCTTGGGAGGGCAGATTCGTGTTTGCCGTGCGGGGCACTATCAGACGGCCGAGAACGCGGCGTGAGCGCCAGCAGAACCGGTCCCCACGGCGGGCGGGCGGCACGCAGGCTCGGGGCGGGCCGCCGGCTGCCCGGCGCCTCTCACGCTACGCCGCGTGCAGCGGAGGAAGCGCATGTCGTGACGACCGGCGATGAGATCAGTTTGAATTACCACAGCGTCGGGCTGGGAAGTGCCGCCTGTCACGCAGCCGCCGCCTGGGCCGGGCGCCGGCGAATCAGCTCCTTCGCGGCGGCGGCCGCGGGGAGCGGCAGAACTGTTCCCAGGGGGCGGCGAGGGCTGGGGCGCCGGAGGGAAAAGTACAAAATGCTCCTTGCACAGTTAGGGGGTGGATGCTATGAGCAAACCGGCCTGCGAGACGCACGCTGAAAATTACGTCCGTGGATCAGTGTCTTGCACGGTGCCCGGTAGCAGGTCACTGTCTAAAAACCACTGCAACTTGGAACTCGGGGCATTAAAATGTGCCTTTAGCTTGCTCATATTACCTTGTTGAACAGGCAGTGCACACAGCTTGCATATACGTGCATGTAATTGAATTTATACAGTCAAGTCTGGAGGCACGGTTTGGCAAGAGGAATAACTGTGAATTCAGTAAGAGAGTCAGGGTACAAACAGTAAGTTTACTGAAAAGGACAAATGAACTGAAAAAAAAATCAGACCATGACACGAGGAAGCCATTACATTCATCTTTTCATGGTCTTGAACATCTTGTACGAACTCAGCTATAATACACGGCGGAAACCTCTAATTAGACACAGAAAATGCAAGTATTTAGCTGTACCAGGCAAACATTGAAAAAATAAGCCTTATGTTATAGACATGTGATTAACATCCATAAGAGAGAAGTATATGTTTAATTTTTTTGTTATTTCAGTCACTTCCTTAGTATACATGTGACTCACTGGTGCGTATGTCAGTATGAAACAATTAGGGTTGATCATTATGTGCAGAAAAATCTCTGCTCTGAATTCTAAATAATTATGAGAATTTTTTTAAACAATTTTTAATAATTTTTTCTCTTTATTGATTTTGAGAGAGAGAGAGAGATAGAAACATGGATGAGAGGGAACATGGATTGGCTGCCTCCTGCAGGCTCCCCACTGGGGATTTGGCCCACAACCTGGGCATGTGCCCTGACCAGGAATAGAACCAGTGACCTCTTGATGTAGGGGTTGACACTCAACCAATGAGCCACACCTGCCGGGCTATGAGAATTTTTTTTACAGATTGTAATGTTTATTTGATGTGAGGAGTTCAGTAAGGAGCTAGAGACAGCCTAAGTGCCTAGCCAACTGCATCTAATGAATATTTTGAATGAAAGGAGGAATGAGTGAATGTGTAGGCAGTACCCTCTGATGGATTAGAGCTGTGAACTAAAGTGTCATGAGTAATGCCAACCCTACTACTGACTCATGTGTGATCCTGGTATAATAGAATAATGCTTACAGCATACCTACTTCACCAGAGGTGTGGGGAGGACTGTTCCTTACTCACCAAAGGTGCTTTGAGATCTTTGGAGAAAGATGATATATTCATTTATTATCAATAATACACCAGTGTTATGACAACCATATATAAAATTGCAAAAGTATAAAATAGTGTTTAAATACAACTGTGCCACCAAATTTTTTTGTTTGTAGTCTCTCAAGTACTGAAATACAGCATGGGAGGCTGCATCCTTCCACAAAATGTTTGGCTTATTGACATTTCATTGTCAGTAGACAAGTAGTTCATGATTTGCAACGGAAGTTTGTAAAAAATCAGTATTTGAGTAGTGTGGTGATGGTATTTTATGAGAGCTGAGACCTCTGGCCTATGAAATGCCAAGGAGAAAACTAATTTATGATGAATTACTGATTTGATCTGTGGAATCTTGAAGGGGAGGGACCTTGGTGTAATTTCCTATTGCTCAATGACTGAAAGTTTAGGATTAGAGATTTACTCAATCAACATTTTAAGCGACCTACTGTGTGTCAGGCGTTGTTCTGTGTTTGGTAAACAGACAAAACTGACTTAATATTTAAATATTTCTGGTCTCTATTTAAATACAGATCACCTTAGGAATAGTGATACTTTACGTACATCTTTGGTTCCTGTCTTTCCAAGAAAGCCCTTGAGAGGGAAAGAAAAAATCACCAGAATGATAAGTGATTTTAACTTGAATCAGAAGGCAGATGCCAACCTTAATCAGTCTCTTCTTTTTAGAAAATAATAAGAAAACTATACAATAATACTATCTGGCCCTGGTCAGTTTGGCTCAGTGGTTAGAGTGTTGGCCTGTGGACCAGAGAGTCCCGGGTTTGGTTCCTGCTAAGGGCACGTACCTCAGTTGCAGTTTGTCCCCAGCCCTGGTTGGGGTTGTGTGGGTGGCAACCAGTTGATGTGTCTCTCTCACATGGATGTTTCTCCCTCTCTTCCTGCCTCTGTCCCTCCCGCTCTATCTGAGGATACATGCAAAAATGCCCTCGGGTGAGGATACAAAAAAAAAAAAAAATACTGTTTTGCATCATTCGCCATATCAAAGTTGCTCTCATCTTTCTTAATGTCCTCTGCCATCATTTTAAGGCTATGTGTGCCTTTTTTTTTAAATCATGGCTCCATACACTTATGCAGTTTGTTGACTGTATGATGGTGCCCTGCAGAGGAGTTGGGTAGGCATTGAACTCCAGCCCCTAGCTTCACATACTAAGTCATGTATTTTACATATAGTTTAGGAAGAGATGTCTTTTTCTAATTCGAACAAAATATCACAGGGTTTCAGTGGCTCTCTTTGTTCTTCAGAGTTTGCAGGCAACTAGCTCCCACTGACCCTTGAGATGTCTTTTCCTGTTGCTTTGTTATGAGTAGTAAGACAGGGAACATTGGGGGATGGGGAAGAAGTGAACCAATCCCTATCAGTTTCTAAGATGTCCAATTAATATCTAGACAAATGAAGGCTAGCCAAGACATTATGCCATATTAAATGTTCTGCAGCAAGCATTTAATTAAAAAATACCATAGGAACAGAAGTACTGATAGAGCAACGACCTGCCTTTTTGCTTTTAGCAAACTTGGAAGAACTGTCTACTCACAACAAGTTGCCACAGTATTGCATTGCAACTAGAGAACATGGTAAGTCAGAAAGTATGGCTCAACCCTTTGGCCAAGCTCATTTGTATTCTTTGATATAGGGTATTATATATGTCCTGCTGAACCCTGGGGATGGGGGCCTTGGATAGTAAAGCATTTTCCTTTTCCTGTTGCCAACTTCCCTGTGTTCTGTTAACATTATGTCATGTTGCAAACAGTGACAGAGACTGCAATATCAGGATGTAGTGACCTGATTAGTCCAAACTCCTGCAGGGGAGGTGTGTAATAGATGAGCCCCAACAGGACCTGAAGAACCATGTGGTTTTGAAATCCTAGGTGGATGGGCCACGCCCTATATACACCTTAAATCTACTGGTGCTTTGAAGGTATAATTATTGCTCAACAACTCCCAAGACAGAGTTAATTAGATCTTTGTATGATTTGATTATAATAAAATGAGAGTTTAAATGTAACATTAAAATGTGTGCATAATATAAATATATTTTTAAAACTTGAAATTAATATATAAGAGCATAAAAATGATGCAACTGCCTTAACACTTTTTAAAATATAGTCTCTTTCTAACAATAGTTAAGCAGTTAGTTTTGTAGCTTAATTTATAAGCCTAAAGCAAATGAAACATGAAGGGATATGATTACTCTGCACTATACAATTTATTATTTCACTTATTAAGTAAAGATTCCTGTGGTATTTTTTTTTTTTTTTGTACAGATAGAGTGGGAGGGAGAGAGAGGAAGGGAGAGAGAGAGAGAAACATCGACGTGAAGGGACACATCGAGTGGCTGCCACCCGCACGACCAACCAGGGCCGGGGACAAACTGCAACCAAGGTACTCGCCCTTAGCGGGAACCGAACCCGGGTCTCTCTGGACCGCAGGCCGACGCTCTAACCGCTGAGCCAAACTGGCCAGGGCTCCTATGGTATTTCTTAATTAATTATTACTTACAAAAGCCTTTAGAGAGCATTGCTTTGTATTGTATGTAGTTTCAAGGTGAGGAGACAAAGAAATTAAGTAAAATATTCCATAAACCCTATACCTATCAAAGATAAGAATTAAAGCAATTGTGGAACTTTAGACATAGAAGACACTTGGTAAATGTAGTATATTACTATAAACTGAAAAACACAGTTTCCTACCTAGAGATGATGAATGCAGCATGCAATAGATGGTTTCCTGTTTGAGGACAGAACTGCTGCTTGCTGTTATTTGCCTTGCCAGTACCACCCAATATATGACGATGGTTGAATGAATCAATTAGTAAATGAGTATGAGAGAAAACCCATAAGAACTAACCTCTAACTGCTCCACTCTAATCCATAGGCCCTCCCAGTTTCTCTCTTGCTAAATGCCTTCCTAGATTATTGATGCCTTGCATGAGCAATCAGGAAAAAGGAAGTGATCCAGATGGGAGGCTAGCTGTGGTCAGATGCCTCTGAAATGAAAAAAGTATTTGCAGATGTCTCAACAAGTGGAAGGGTCGGGCTGAGTCTATACTACAGGAAACAACTTCCACACCTTGGGGCTACTACAATAAAGGTATCATCACTCACCAGCATCGTATTCTGCTGGAAATTTGAAAAGGCTTTCAGGGTTGGAATGCTGCATGAATCCAGACTTGCCCCAGGAATGCCACAAGTGATCAGAACTAAGTATAGAAATTAATGTGATTTGTAAAAATAGCAATAAGGATCATGGTTATCTGAGAATCGAATCCTTTAATCACCTTAGACAGACCTAATGAAACTAGAAGAAACCATCATTGATTTTGAGAGTCTCCTTCTAAATTAGTTGGCCTTTGGCTTTTGGAGAGCAAAGTTCAAATTCCAGTTCCTGTCTGACAGGAAAATAAGTCAGACACAGAGTAGACAGATAGTCTTTTAGACTCCAAACTGAAACAGCAGGCCACAAAGGAGATCTGAGTCTTGAGGAACCTTTGTTTTTAGAGTTGCTGAAATCATTCAGCTAATGTGGGTATTTTTCACTGTGCCTTTTGAGGCTGTTCATTTCAGATTTAGGATATTTGCCTTTGTTGGCAAATCTGTTCAAAAGTAAATAAAGAATTGTATATTTTCTAATGAAAAAATTCAATTCTGTATTTTGTGCATGCCCTCTTCTGACGCATGAAAATATTTCTAGCTTCATAGCAGAAGATGGTGCATCTGGTTATAAGCACCAATCACTCAATAAGATAATAATAAGATACAAAGGCACCTTTATAAAGTGCTCAGAACTAAGCTCAGCTATTTACTAGTTCTGTCTCCTGGTCATACTAGCACCTAAGCCTACTTTCTCATTCTAATGTGGTAACAATTGAAGAGTGGTTTTGTTTTTAGCTTGGTGGGCAAGGAAGAGAGTATTTTCTGAAACAGTAATCTGACTGCTTGGCAACATTGGATTTGTTCCGTAAAATTCTAAACTTTTAAAGTGAGAAGACCTTATAGTAGCATAGCTTTTGACACTTGATTTATAGAGATAAGCTTTTTATCACCCCAAATGAGAGTTGTTGTTTTTTTAATTATTAGGAATGGAAGAGAATGCTTGCTTGCACTATTACTAAAATTGACCAAGACATCTGGGGAGTAGAGAAAAATTAATTAATGCTAACATTATTAGAAAATTATAGCTATGTTACTATTATAAATGAATTGCCTTTTCTGAATATTGGATTTCATTATACAAAGACTAAATGCCAATGCTGGCAGCAAATCCTTTTGCCTTTTTTTTTATCCTCACCCAAGGACATTTTTCCATTTTTTGTTCAGATAGAGTGGAAGGGAAAGAGAGAGAGAGAAAAACATCCATGTGAAAGGGACACATTGAGTGGCTGCCACCCACACTACCAACCAGGGCCGGGGACAAACCGTAACCAAGGTACATGCCCTTAGCGGGAACCGAACCCGGGTCTCTCTGGACCGCAGGCCGATGCTCTAACCGCTGAGCCAAACAAGCCAGGGCTCCTTTTGCCTTTTTTTAAAACCAAAAACACAGAGTTGTTATCAGACTTGCTGAGTCGTCCTATTATTGAATTAGGTCATTAGCGTGAGGAAGAAATTTAAATGTCATCAACATCAAATTCCTCATTTTATGGATGAGGAAACAAATTCAGAGGATAATTAATTTATTAGAAAACATTATTGTTGTTGATATTATTACAAGTGCTATACAAGGCTCCCGTCTTGGTTCTGGGGATTGAACAGTCAAGAAGACAGATGTGATCTCTTGTCCTGAATCACACAGTTAAGGGAGGAGCTGGGGCCAGAAATGAGTCTGTGGATTTCTAATTAGAAGAGCTTCCATTAATCAAGTACTGACTCCAGACCAGGCCCTGAGTGTTTCACCTCTGTTGTCATATAACCTTCACTAACTTAGATTTTTTTTATATATGGGGCATGTCTTTCCATTCCTGATGTCTCCTTCCACGTGGATGGAATTCCATTAATGTAGTCATTCTGGCTCCTTTGGCTGCCTTATTTACTCTGCCCAAGAGGAGATAAAGTGACACGTGAGTTTGGAAAGAGTAACAGTGCATGAGTAACCCAACCCCTTCCCTTCAGTTATTTTTAAGCCTGAGCTGCTGGATGAGAATGTTTGTTCTTTGCTCTTCCAGGCCCAAAGATGAACAGAGCATAAGAGGACTTTTCAGCCTCGCCAGTGTGGCTCAGTGGTTGAGCATTGACCCATGTACTGAGAGTTCCCAGTCAGAGCACATGCTCAGGTTGTGGGCTCAATCCCCAGTGGAGGGCATGCAGGAGGCAGACAATCAGTGTTCTTGCTCATTGACGTTTCTCTCTCTCTCTCTCTCTCCTTTCCTCTCTGTAAAGTTAATAAAGAAAAAAATATTTTTTTAAAAAACGCACTCTTCAGGTCATGTTAGTAGGGAGACAAGTCTCAAACTGGGATTTTTAATTAGGAAGCCCACTTTCCCACAGATATCAGCTTTCTCATCAATAAAATCTCTGTACCACCCTGGCCAGTTTGGTTCAGCAGTTAGAGCATCAGCCTACGGTCCCGAGAGACCCAGGTTCAGTTCCCGCTAAGGGCACGTACCTCAGTTGCAGTTTGTCCCCGGCCCTGGCTGGTCGTGCGGGTGGCAGCCACTCGATGTTTCCCTTTCACGTCGATGTTTTTCTCTCTCTCTCTCTGTTCCTCTCCCTCCCTCCCACTCTACCTGAACAAAAAATGGAAAAATGTCCTCAGGTGAGGATATAAATAAATAAATAAATAAATAAATAAATAATAAAATCTCTGTATGTATAAAAAGAGTAAATTAGCAAGTGTGTACTATCATATTTGTACCATGCAAAAACAGCCAAGTCCGATCCAGTGTGCATGTCTGTGCCTCACGTTCTGACCCACCTGCCACAGCATCCAGGAAGTAGTGTCTGGAAATAATATCAACATAACCTTCTGGGATCACATGCCCAAGAAGCAGAACAGCTTGCACAGCAGCCTGGACCTGTTGCAGATGGCACATAAAATTAACCATCACATCTTCTAAACAGATTTGGCCCAATGTCCCCAGTTTCTAAAACTCAAGGTTTGCTGTTGGGCTTTTTTTAGGAGACAAAGTGGTGAAATGAAAAGAATATGGGATTTATAGAATTAGAAGACCTAGATTTGTGTCTACCCTGAGTAAATCTCTCTAACTTTGAACCTCTGTTTTTCCTCTGAATAACAACGCAGATTACCTTACTGAGCTCACGTGGTTGTTTGAGGCCCACAGAGGAAATGGATGTGCAAGTACTTTATAAACTGTAAAAAACTGGGGGGGAAAAAAAGTTGTTTTACAGGCTTAAAGGGCAATTCTTTAAATACTAGTTATCATTTTTACTATGGATTTTCAGCCTGGCTTTATACAAAAGTGGTTTGATTGTATGGTTAGGTGGTTGACAGTGGCATAGATGGATCTTTAAAGGCTGAGAACCATTCTACCAACTAAGCCCTCTCCTCTCCCAATGAGCATTACCTACTTACTTAATTAATATAATTAAAAAAATAAGATCCTCCCTTGCCGCTTTGTCTGCAATTTTACTGTTAGCCTTTTGCGTTAGACACTGCCTCACTTACTGACCTTATTTGAATTTTGAGCAGCAGTGCGTGGAAGAATTAGAGTAGAGCTTGGGAAGGATGAAAGAAAGGCTGAAGGCAGGTAAAAGGCAAAGAATAGTCTGGCTATAAGTTTCAACCAAAAGAACTTGATAAGGAAACTGAAGAGGGAGCAAAAGGTGGCCAGGAGCAAGGGAACATTGTTTCAGAGTGGCACAGTTTCCTCAGATGGTTGTAAGCTTGCTCCCTCTGATCAATCTACCGTGTCTCAACCTGAAAGTCAGAAGAAATGGATTCCAGCCCTGATCTGTGACCATCCAGCTGTGTGACCTTGGGTATATAACTTTGCCTCCCTGGGTCTCATTTTCCTTATCTGAAAAATGAAAGCTTTGGAGAAATATTCTCTAAAGCCATTTCTATGATAAATATTCTGTAATCTAGCAAAACCCCATGATTATTTTCCCTCCTCTTTCAACGTTTAAATCTTAGATATCTTTCCACAGGGCAAAAATTTATCTTAGAATTGGGCTGAGAAATGGGGATGTGTGTATGTAGACACCAATGGTAAATTTATGTCAGAACATCATAGGCCAGAGAGAAGCATTTCATAAAAATTAAAAACCAAGAGTAACCAAGCAATTGTACACTATCATATTTGAACAATTTCTCTTATAAACAAACTCCCCATGAAGTTGTTCCCATTATAGTTGTATTCAGACATGTTCACAGTTCAGTTAAAAAACTCTCAAGTTCTACAAATCACACTTGAAATACCGAAGAATACATACCAGCATTTAAAGCAGGCCTCCAGCCTAAAAGCAGACAGGCTTGACAATTGCTTTAAGTCGCTAAGAGAACGAATGAATAAACTATGTACAATAGTAGTTAAATTCTCAAAACAATACATTTTTCTCCTGAGTGTGGAGGATGGACTCTCCATGTTTTTCTGCTTAATGGTGATAATTCTGTTCACTGCATAAGTAGGTTTAAGCAAAAGGAATAACAGAAAGAGGTCAGCTATATGACCTTGGGCATTGAAAACAAAACAATTTGGGGAGGAGGATTCACTGGTTCAGGATTAATCATTATGAGAATCTGGCGGAATCAAAGGCATTCCTGTGTCTTTCGTGTACTTTAATAAGCTGTTGATAACTTTGGCATGTATTAAATAAAAACTCTCAGAATCAATAGAGGGTAATACTATTGTCATTTTTCTTATTTATACAGAAGACCTATCCCAATCACTCCTTCTATTAAACATGACTGGCGCTTCCAGAACTAAAGACTGCAAGCATGGCTATGTGGCTAGAGATGGGAGACCAGGGAAAACTAATGAATTTGGGGTAGAAGAAAGTACACAGGAAAGACAATGGTTTTTGAACTGAGACTTGTGCTCAAATCCTGGTTCCACTAAGTCTAGGCACTTAAACCTCTTTGATTTTTTTACCTATAAAATGCGATTAATGTGTACCTTGCAGTTGTAACAAATCATAATACTGCATAGGAATCACCTAACAGGCGCTCACTACACAGTGGATGTTATCTTTATTCCTTTTCTCAGTGGGGCCAGTAACTCTGTCCTCCTTGTTTTTTTGTTGTTGTTTTTCATTTTTTGTTGTTGTTGTTCTTTATTGATTTTTAGAGAGAGAGGAAGGGAGAGGGAGAGAGAGAGAGAAACATCAATGAAAGAGAACATCGACTGGCCACCTCCTCCATGCCCCACACTGGGGATTTGGCCCACAACCTGGGCATGTGCTCTGACCAGGAATCGAACCGGGTGCATGGGTTGACACTCAACCACTGAGCCACACCAGCCGGGCTGGCTTCCCTGCTTTAAATGTGAAATCATGCTCCTTCCAGATCTTAACTCCCATGAAACTGCTTTTTTAGGATTACCTGGGAAAATAATGATGGTCTTTAGGAAGAAAAGGTCCTGGACTTTTAAAAAAGCAAAAGAGGGGGGAAAATGGAGGAGGAAAGAAAGGAAGAAAGGATTGAAGGAAAACTATTAGAAGTCAAAAGAAGAAAATGAGTAGAAACAAAAGGAAAGAAGAAATGCAAAAGAATACACACCCAGGTCTTTGCACTGGCATTTAGCCACATCCAAGGGTTACTGAAGTCCTCTGATGGTTTTTATGAAAACCTCTTGCTTCACCCAATTATAATCGTCTTTTGAGTTGAAATGCTTTTTTCTTAGACTTTTTCCAAATTTCTAGTCATCCCTCAAGACTCTCATTGGATCTCACTAGGGGACCAATATATGTAAAGCACACACTATGTGCTCAGCATCTTGCTAGGTGCTTTATTTGAGTCACCTCATTTACGGTAGCCAGTAGCCCTGAATAGGGATAATGTCAACCCCTGATACAAGGGGGCAATGAGGAATTTAGTCGTTTAGCCAGAGAGTCAAGCCAGGAATGGATCCAGAACTATGAGATCCAAAAGTCTTCATTTTGTTCTCCATCGCAATGCACGTGTCCTTGATCCTCTCCATCAGTTAATAGGCCATTCCTCCACTCCTGTTCAGCACTTGGTTTATCCCTTTGTCATAACAATTATTTCACTCCATTTAGATTTTAACTTACTCTTTTTATTCTCTCTTCTGCCAGTTTTATACCATCTATCAAACGTTTGTGGAGCATCATCTAGGGTAAAATATTGGATTATATCCAGGCTCTAAGTAAACTTATACACACACACACACACACACACACATATATAATTTTGTTCTTTTTATTTTGTTTTTAAATTGTGCTAAGAAAAACATAACATTTTCTATCTTAATCATTTTAAAGTGTACATTTTATTTTTTATTTTTTTATTTTTTTAATCCTCACCTGAGGACATTTTTCCATTCTTTGCTCAGATAAAGTGGGAGGGAGAGAGAGGAAGAGAGAAACATTGACGTGAAAGGGACACATCAAGTGGCTGCCACCTGCACGACCAACCAGGGCCAAGGCATGCGCCCTTAGCAGGAACCGAACCCGGGTCTCTCTGGACCGCAGGCCGACGCTCCAACCACTGAGCCAAACCTGCCAGGGCTCAAGTGTACATTTTAATACTGTTAAGTATATTTATATTTTTGTACAACTGTAAGTTATTTTTTAATGTTGGTAATCTCCACAGTGCTTAGCACATGTTTGCTGAATGCATTGGTCAGGACTTTTCCACCCAATCCCAAAACTGCCAGTCCACAAATTTCGATGTTCCTGAGTCCGTCGTACCCTAAGGGATCCTAGGTGGCTCTGTTGGCAGGGGCAGGGTTAACATTTCCAAGGCAAATTAAATAAATATATATATATATATATATATATATATATATATATCCTACCTAAGAGCTGTCATGTATCCCAGATCTTTAATTTATTTACTATTTTTCAAAATAGGTCATAAATTCATATCGTTCAAAATTCAACAAGTATAAGAGAATATACAGTGAAAATTCTCCAATTCACAGCCCCAACCATCCAATTTCCGTGCCTGGAGTCAATCTTTATTATCCTTATTATTTTATGAATATACAAGTAAAAATAGCCCGGCCAATTTGGCTCAGAGGTTAGAGCGTCGGCCCTCGGACTAAAGAGACTTGGGTTTGATTCCAGTCTAGGGCACATACATCAGTTGTGGTTTGATCCCCGGCCCGATCAATCGATGTGTCTCTCATGGGTGTTTCTCTTTCTCTCTCTCTCTCTCTCTCTCTCTCTCTCTCTCTCTCTCTTCTCTCTCTCCCTCCCTCCCTCCTCCCTCCCTCCCACTCTATCTGAAAATCAGGGGAACAATATCCTCAGGTGAGGATTAAAAAAAAAAAACAATAACAACAAGTTAAAACACACACACTTTTCCTCTGCCCCACCTTTTTATACATTACACTCTTTGGTACTTTGCTTTTTCACTCAACATATCTTGGAGGTCATTCCATTTAGTACATTTATTTTTTTTATACTTTATGGATACATACTTATTAATAACTTAATAATTTCCCTATTGATCAACATTTAGGTAGGGGTTTTTTTTGGCCAGTATTTTGCTAGCAAAACACTACTGCAATGAATAGCCTACCTATAACATTTTGCAAGTGTGCAAGTATATCTGTTGGATGAATTTTTAGACTTGAAATTACTTGGTCAGGGATGTGTACATTCGTGGTTTTAACAGACATTGCTGGAGAGTTTTCATGTAGCTGCTTCCCCTCCCCACTCCCTAGCAGTCGAGAATTATTGCAGTGTAATGACAGATGTTACTGACTGTGCTAGTGTGTGTTCCACATGTTAACAGTGTGGAGAAAAAAATAGAATCACTTCCCACCCTGGCTTCTTTTGGTCAGTATTTCTGATTCATGAAAGAGAGAATCTGCTTGACCAGGCTTTTCATGTCCAGCCAAGTCTCATCAAGGTCTCCCAGAGTCACCAGCCCCTGGTTACTTACCAGCCTTGTTTCACGTGCTCACACTCCAGTCTAGGGGCTCAGGGTGAGCCTGGAACCATATCCCTTTGGAAGGAGCCACAGGCAGGCAATTCTGGGATTAGGATATCTAGAAAATGTATATAATCCCAGTTTTTCCAGCACAGTCCTACGGTATGTCTGTTGCATGGCATAATTATCAACCATGCTCCCTTTCACACTCAAAAGTGTCCCATTTGAGATTATAATTTACTAACATTACATAAGGTAGGACAATGCTGTTCATACTGTGTTGCAAGGAGCCCTGGGGTTTGTAAAGGTGCCCGTGGAAAGATGTTCCAAGGGAAAGGCCAAGCAGGTGGAATTCGAGTCCCATTGCACTGTCTAACGTGACTAAGAGGAATTTAAGCTGACAATAAATAAACACATTTCTACCTAATAGGAGTTACATGGTTCTTGAAACTTTGAAATCAGATGCACTTGTCCTCTCTCTACTGACACATGTACTATTGGGCATTTTCTCCACCAAAATAGATTATTGAAAACCTCCCGAGGCAGTAATTCCTTGACCTCAGGAGATACAATATCTGCACTTACTAAAGTCCCCTTGTTTAACGTGGTTAATTCGTTCCAGGCTCTAGCGGTTGCACCTGGCGTTGAAGGATTCCTGGCGTGCTCAAATACATAGGCCCACAGTCCATACGTACAGTAATTTTAATTTTAATTGCAATACAGGGATGTATAATTGACTCAGACAACTGAGCACGTGCTGTATCATTTTCACTGTTTCCATCAACTTTTTAATGAATATATTTGAAAAAAACGCGATAGAGTGAAGCCGCGAAAGTCGAAGCGCAAAGTGGCGAGGGACACCTGTACTTGCCAGTGCAGATGGGGCGGGGCCTTGAACTAATGGACCACACGTGGCTTTTAACAAGAGATTCCCTGGAAGCACATTTGCCCTGTGCAGTCCAAACATGGGGTCTGGTCTAGGTAAGAGGATGGGCAAGAAGGACACAGCGACTGCAGCTCAAACATGCTGCGCTTTGATACATTTTCAAAGCAGCGCGTAGTTCAGAGCCAAGGATAGACATGAAGCAAGTCAAATGCAGCTCGCTGTTGCCTCTGGTTTTTCACAGAGACACCATAAACTGGATTGTCTTGGCAGCCTGAAGAAAGCGAGATGTCTAGGAGGTCAGGGGAGCCCAGAAGTGTGGGCTCACTATCTTTCACACCTCCAGCCACATTAGCAACCAGAAACAATTTATGCTACCATATAAGGCCAAAACATAGTTACTTAGCAAGCTGCTTCATTTAGTCTAATGTCCAGACACTAGACCTTGAAATGCTTTCTGTGCCCAGCCTGGGGCAATCTCGCCTTATCTACACCTGGGCGGCAGGGTGTAGGAGTTTTCCACTTATTTTGCAGGCCGGCCTGGCCTTGGTCTACCACAAACATATTTAGCCTTTAAGTTCTCAAACAAACTCTTGGCCTTCTCCTGAATTAACACAGGCTAAAGGACATCTGTGTTGATTCTGATCTTCTAACTCCTGCGCCAGGTTTTCCATTTTGTTCATCGCTTCGCCTCATCTCTTGCTGATTACTCTTGATTGCAAAAGCCCAGCTCTTCAATTGCTGCCTGATTCTTTTTGTCCTGCAGAACTACTCCTTCTGTGAAACAATTCATCCCTTACACACATTTTTTCCTCATTTAAAATGTTTATTCTCTTCACTTTTGTTTCCATCGTAGCCATATGTCTTCTTACTAGCTCTTCCAACAAGTCTCACACCCTTCATACTTTCTAACACAAAGGAGTCAAGAATGTGCATAAAGTGTTTCCAAATCTGTGTACCATCACAACAAACATGGCCAGTGATGAAAAATGGCCACTGACAACTGGTAGTATCATTAGTCAATGCCAAGCAGGGCAGATGATTCTTTTCTCAGGAGCATAGTTTTGTTCTAATCTATGGAAATATGTTGGTTTAACGTTCTTAAATAAAGTAGCTTCTTTTCCTCTTTCTTCTTGTTTCACTTCTTTCTTCCTTTTCTCAATCTCTCAACCAGTGATGGTTTTAGGTCACTGGTAGAGTCCAAAGAAGACAAGTAGGGCTTGAATGATGAGAGAAAATAAATACAATGGGCAGTGAAAAAAGGGAGGCTGCAAAAGGAGCAGATCACTGCTCACTTGGATTTCCTAGGTGCCCGAAGTTAGAATTCAATTTCTATCAGTTTGCAAAATCAAACATGAGTCCAGCTCCTCCCTACCGACCCCTCCCATTGGGGAGGACTCTACTGTAGAAGGGATTGTACTAAGAGAAGATTATACCTCCCACACAGCAATATTATTAAGTTTGGCTTTCTGACCTGCTTTGACTATGAATGTGAGTTGAAGGGACATGTGACATTTCTAGTAGAAGCTTTAAAAACCATTGCACGGTTCTGCCCTTGCTTTTCTCTGCTATAAGGTGACCAATGTCATAGGAAGAGCTTGCTTCTTCAGTCTGAGTCCCAAATTAAGAGGACATGGAATAGAACTGAAGCTGACCTGCTATTAACATGAATGAGAAATTGAAATAAATCGGAAAACAACTTTTGATGTAAACCACAAAAGCGTCAGGGTGGTTTGTTATTGCAGCATCATTTGACCCGACCGATAAAACCGTGAATTCCAGAAAGCAGAGAAAGCCCAGCAGTTGAGATGTGTGGGAGGGGGGAAGTCAAGGAAATTGTGGCACAATGAGAAAGGAGATTTAGGTGCCAGTCAGACATCAAGAAAACCTTGGAGGAGAGCAACACGGGCTCTGACCAGAACATCTAGGGTAGAGGAAGCAAAGAAAACAAACCTACACGATGACTTTCCTTCAGAAAACAGGGAGAAGAAGGACACAATTCAGAATGTGTTCAAGAACAAAAGTACCTTCTTCTTGTTGTCTATACAGTAGAAATGAAATAGTCTTTTAGGGCTAAGACTAAGAGAAACTCCAAGCCTTTTCTTCCCTCTGGGCCAACTTTGAATGCCTGTGGTACGATTAAAAGGCCCAGATGGAATTCTTAAGGTATTCCAAACAAATCTCCAAAGCAGCGGTCCTCAACCTGTGGGTCGCGATTCCTTTGGGGGTCGAACAACCCTTTCACAGGGGCCACCTAAGAGATAATAGTAGCAAAATTACAGTTATGAAGTAGCAACAAAAATAATTTTATGTTTGGGGGTCACCACAACATGAGGAACTGTATTAAAGGGTCATGGCATTAGGAAGGTTGAGAACCACTGCTCCAAAGGAAGGGTATCATTTTAGAGAGAGCACGGAAGATGTAGTAGTTTGGGTCCAGCCTGTGACCTGGGCCCGATTTCTATGGTTACATGCAATCTAATGAGGATGGATGCAGGGGTCCTATCTGGGAAGACTCGGCCCTGGGTTGGACTATAGCTCAGGGGGAGGTGCTTTTTAAGGCACTTTCCTACTTTTTTGTATTCTTCATTTCTTCTGTGATTCGAATTTCAATTGATGTTGAAAGCCAGGGTTGTTAGTTTTTCTCTGCAGCTGAGAGAAGGGTACTTAGGAGCAGTTTTCCCCACAGGCTGAGGATGTTGTATTTGTTGTTAGCATTGTTACCAATGTAGATGACTGCTGCCTGTACTAGGCACAGAACATGACATCCCAGTCTGCCCAAGTCTCTAGGATGCGGGAGGGCAGGGGGTTTCCTTAAAGTGTGGTCCTCGGAGCATCAGCAGCACCTGGAAACTTGTTAGAATGCAAATTCTTGGGCCTCATCCAACACCTGGTGAATTTAAAATTCTGGTAGCGGGACCCAGCAATCTATGCTCGAATAAGCCCTCCAGGGTATTCGGATGCACACTTAAATTTGAGAACCACTGCATCAGGGACATCAGTCTCTCTCAAGGCAAGTCTTACTAGCCCCAGGCTAAGATTGGATCAACTGCACACCCTTCTCTGAGCTTGTGAAATGATCATCCACTCCAGGATGCCAGCTGGGCCTCACTATCTTCATAGCACATCTCAGAGCAGAGGAGGCAACAGGACCTGAACCTTCCTGTAGTGCTATATCGAGCCAGCGCCTTTTAGGCCAACTCCGAATCTAGGTCAGGTCTAGGCTAGCTCCGGGAGTCACGGACAGATATAACCTTTACTGCTCTCAGGTCTCCCTTAGCCTACTATCCACATAAGCCAAAAGAGGCTGCTGATGAAATCGACCTTGTGAGGTCGATATTATCTCCATTGGACACACAAGAAAACAGTGATGTGGAGATTTAAATAACTTGCCACAGTTGCAAAGTTAGTTAGATGGAGAGTTGGGATTTAAATCCAGTTCATCTAACCGCAGAGTCCACTGGGAAATCGTTTGGAACATCCTGGGATGCACACTTTGAGAAGCCTGCTCTGAAAAAATACTATCTCTGCTGATTTGACAGCAAATACCCAGTGTGTCCTCTCATATCGACCTGCTGTCACTAGCCGTTTGCTTTCCAAAATGAAGCCGTTGATCCAAACGTGAATCAATGAAGATATAATTCTACGTTCAAGACAGATGTGTTATCATTTCTCTTAAACTGCTTGCTCTTTAAACTTCTCTCCTAATTTAGGGTCAAAAGATGCCAACTTCCTCTGAACTCCAAGCTCTCCACCTCTGTTCTGGAAGGTCTAACAAGCACCTCACACTGAACACGGGCACACATCACCCTTCGTTCCTCATCCCCCACCCACTCCTCCTCCGCTCTTCCCTGTCTCAGTACACATACCGCAGTGGTCAAGCCAAAATCTTCAGAGCCGTTTTTCTTTTCTTTCCCTTTCTTTCTTTCTTTCTTTCTTTCTTTCTTTCTTTCTTTCTTTCTTTCTTTCTTTCTTTCTCTCTCTCTCTCTCTCTCTCTTTCTTTCTCCTTCCTTCCTTCCTTCCTTCCTTCCTTCCTTCCTTCCTTCCTTCCTTCCTTCCTTCCTTCCTTCCTTTCTTCTTTCCCCTTTCTCTGTATGCATCTACTGGATCAACAAGTCCTATTTCCAAAATGTATTCTAAATCTATACACGTTTTTCCATCTCCACTGCTACCGCCTAGTGCAAGCCATCATCTTCTCCCTCCTGGACTAACTACTCTAATCCACCTCCCAACTAGATACCTCCCAGCCAGAAACCTTCCCTGTATTTACCCGCGCCCCCCTCTTCCTAAAATCTGTTTTCCACACATTTTCTGAGTGAGCTTTTGAAATACACCGGTTTATGTCACTCTTCTGTTTATGTCCTCCAGTGGGTCTCCATTACATTTGGAATAAAACCGAAATTTCTACCCGGCCAGTGTGGCTCAGTGGTTGAGCATCAACCCATGCACCAAGAGGTCGCAGGTTTGATTCCTGGTCAGGGCACATGCCCAGGTTGTGGGCCAAATCCCCAGTGGGGGTCATGCAGGAGGCGGCCAATCTATGTTCTCTCTCATTGATGTTTCTATCTCTCCCTCTCCCCTCCTCTCTCTCTAAAAGTCAATAAAGAAAAAAAAATTAAAAACACAAAAAACAAAATTCCTTCCTTTGGCCCACAAAGGCTTCTCAGGACCCAGGCCCTGACTGTTCCCTGAACTCACCTCCTCCTTGCTTACCCCTGGTCACCCCATCTCTGCCCCTCTGGCCTCCTTTCTGTTCTTCAGCAGGACAGGCTCAACACTGTCACAGGGTAGCAACGCTGTTCCTTCTGCCTGCAAACTTCTTTCTTGAGATCTTGACTTGATCGCCCAAGATACCACTTTTCAGTTCTCAGTGCAACTATCATTTCCTAAGAAAAACCTTCCCTAATCTCCCAATTTAGAGTAGTGCATCTCTACCCCATTGTAGTACCCATTTATTGCTTTCACAGTGAGGGGAACGGAACATGCACACCCCAAATTGCTGCTCTGGCATATTGATTTTGAGCTGAAGGTAATGGAAAAACTGCAGATGTAGGAAGGGCTCTCTGCCCTTCCCCCTTACTGCCTAAAAGCAGGGCAGAAATTTCCTGTGAAAAAAGATTCCCTCCTGGTCCCAGGAGGAAGAAAATCTTATCACAGGAGATGGAGAATTGATGACAAGATGAGTCTGCACAAACAAATCTTATTAAAATGACTGTTATCTTCCAGCGGTTTCCTCTGTACACTTCCAGTCACTTTCCCTCAATTTACCACCCCAGAAGCCCAAACTCCTTTCCCTTTTCTAGTTACTTCTCTACAATTGCTTCTTTGGGATTTTAACTTCTTTCCTATGAAAGCCCTCCCCCCATGCCATGTAAAAATATTAACACCATATAAAATGTGTCTGTTAGCTTAATTTGCAGGCCCCAGCCTCAGCTACACAACATGAGAGAGCAAACGAAAAGCTTTTCCTCCTCTGTAATAGCTCTTATCTGTCAAGTGTTATATGGCTTATTCCTTTATTTGCTATTTTGTTTAATGTCCTCCCAACAAAAATATAAGCTCAATGAAATAAGAGGATTATTTGTCCTGTTCACCTCTGTAGTTATACACCTGGCACAATGTCGACACTCAATACTGAACAACTGAATCTGCACAGAGGTGATGTAGTATAACCCCAAGGAGATCGAGGCCCCAGAGAGAGAAAGCCGACAGAAGACCCCCACTAACTGACTACCACTGACGGGTTTGTTTGTTTCGGGTCACGAACACAGGTCAAGGTACCACCCTCAGCATGTACTAAATTCAGTTGAAGGTAGTAGATCTTCTAGTTTAAAGAGAAAGGAAGGTAACTGTGAAGATTTGAAGAGTGACAAAATGAACTACCAGAAAGGGCATCGTGAAAAGCACACAGCAAGAAGTCTAAAAGTAAAACTAATAGCAAAGAGTGAAAGCCTGATTTTTAAAAAGCAGTTTTAGCACAGAAATCTAGGGAGAATAAAGGGATGGAGGTGGGGCTGGTGAGCAAGAAAGAGCAAGACACACAGAGGGAACAGAGAGCGACAGAGACAGACAGACAGACAGACAGACAGACAGACAGAGAAATTAGGGGGCAACCATTCTCTCCAACAGTGAATTCAAACTAAATCTTTCCACCAAATAGCATATTTGCATATATTCGATGGGGAGAAGAGTAGTCGAAGGAATATTTTATTACATACAAAGAGAAAGAAAACAGGTTTGAAGCGGGGCGGTTGCCAAGTTGGCAGTGATAACAGCCCTCCAACAATAGAGGATTTACATCACCACCTCTGTGGCCCATGATGGCCTCTTCAGGTTTCATGTGCTACGTGAGCCTTCCCATGAAAAGCCCGCTGTGGCCGATCGGATGTGCTGCGACTACAGTAATACTTCTTCAATAGTTTATTCACCAAGACGTACCCATAAAGTGTTTGTGTGGGGAAATGCTAAAGGAGAAAATTAAATAATTTTTTCAAACATAAAACTTTTCTAAAATATAAGAGGTGTCACACACACAAAAACACACACACACACACACACACCTTCTTTGATGTACCACAAGAGCTTCATAATGTGGTTTATAAATATAAAGACTGTTCTAAATAATCAGAATATCATTTTGGGCCATTTCTGCTTTAAGTTAGTGTTATAAGAAATACAGTGTTTATGATCCTTGTTTAAAAATTGTTTTTAAAAAAATATTAAGGGAAATTATAAATGGAAGGTTATGAAACTACAAATTTAATGAGAAATACTCCCCTTGTCAATATAAGCCTGTGATAGAAAGGAAATGAATTTAAAGAGATTTTAAATTGCATCACCTCTTTCCCTCTAATCCATTTACACATCATTCAGTGTCGCTGATGGCAGTTTATTATCAGTGTAGTGGCTGAGACGCATTAGAATCAAACAGCGCTGCATTCATATTCCAGCTCTAGCATGCCCTTGCTGGATGAGTCACTTAATCTCTCTGAGCCAAGCTCTTCTCATCTGTAAAACAGGGGCCATAGAATTGTTCTAAGGACAAAATAAGACAATGTATGTAAGACATCTGGCACAAAGGAATGTGCAGTGCACAGCCCTAGTAATAGTTATTATTAATTAAATTCATTTAAAAAATATTTATCATGTGCTTTGGTATGGTAGGCATTGTTCTAGATGCTAGGGGTGGGCAGCAGGGCTGGGAATTATATGGTTATGCACAAAGCAAATCCATAGGTCGCCATATGCATCCTTATCCAAAGGACCAGTGCACCCTGAAGCTGGTAGGATACAACCTGGGAGCCATACTTTGTTGCCCTAACAGTGGAAAATAAAATGGGTAAAGCTTACACTCTAATGAAAGGACTGATATTTATCATTATGACTTCAGACTTTATAAAAGCCCCATCATTCAACATTGGAATAACTAATTTATACCAATAAATACTATTTATGCATTCACTAAATATTCAATGTTAAGCAAGATGGAGTAGATGATGTAGAAGGAGTAGAGGGTTTCCCTTATTTCTGCAATTAAGCAGTTTAAAATTCAGATGAAGAGTCAAGGGTTACAAAATGGGGACAAAATATATAAGTGCTAATTTGCACACTATAATTACCTACAGGCAGCCCTCACTTGCATGGCAGTGTGGGGCAATAAAACTGACTATGCAAGCTGAAGCCGTGCAAAGTGATCTTAATAAGCAATAGGAAAAAAGTACGATTACTTCACAGCCTTTACAAAATTTTGTGAAAACTCTGTAAAGCCAGTTATAAATGTATAGGGAAATGAAAATGGTAAAAACTAACCTTGAATAAACTATAATTTAAAACACTAAAATACTTAAAAATAAATAAATAAAACACTAATAATATTGAGGATTAAAGTATTTTACTTCCTTGTAAAAATGTATCAAGAGAAGTTTCAACAGTACTTGCCTTCTTCTCATTATATAACTTACTATATAGCTTTTCTACACCTTGGCAAAACTGTTATATTCCTTTACAAGTCTGGATGAGCTTCCAACATTTTATCCTTTGCACGTTCAATGTCATGAAATATCTCCAAGAGTTTCTTTAATGTGAAGTATTTTTCTGGAGTCACTTCCTCTGGGACATAATCATCCTTTTCATCACAGCGACTTTCCCCATTAATGTCACTAAGTTCACCTTCACTAAGTGACCTTGGCTGCATATCTAGAGAGGGGTTCGCACTGCAGCCGAGTCAACATTCCATGGTCAGCTGTTTCTTCTATAACTCCACTCACACTGGATTCAAGTTTCACTTGCAGCATTATCTCTTTTTGTTACTTTGGTGCACTTTCATCTTTGTTAGTTAACTCACTCTTGATTAACCATTTCTGTGAAATGTCACAGGTTTATCACTGGGACACAGGGAGGCAATGCAACCGCATACTTTGCTATCTGGGGGTGAACCAAATCACAGGTGCGAGGTGACCATACAGGCTTAGGAGGAAGTGATGTGATTGGTCATGGATCTTAATGCACATCTGTTATTTACTTAGTGATGAATGTACAGAAGAGCTAGGAGCAAATTTGTACTTTAAGCAATTATAGTTAATATACCATATCCCATGGTAATGAAAATTTGAACTGTGTTATTGGGGGACTGGTGTTGTGTATTTAAAATGTGCTAACTGAAATGTATTCACATCAGAACCATGCAGAAGACTGCTTCTGCTACATTATCTTTGTTAGTTTTTAGCATATATCAATGAGAAATATGCCCTCAGGATAGAAAGCAATCTCATATGTCATAACTGAATTGGATTAAACATGGGAAGATTAATAAGGGTAATACATCAAAATGAAGTGTTAAACATATACTTTAACATCACATTTTAAAAAGCTAATAAACATCTACTAAGTCACAAAGACCTCATGTACAATAGCATGTCACTAGAGGACAAAGTCCAGTGGCTTCTGGTGTTTTCTGACACCTTATTCCACCTTTTTTTTTCTCCCTTCCATACTTTTGCCTTTTCTTTTATAGAAATTCAGATACAATTAAATGTAACATTTTATTAAAAGTAGTATCACAGAGCCTAACTTTTCTAAAATTACTCTTTATCTTCCTACTCCTTTTCTACCCTTCTATCAATCCTTCCATTTGTGTACATACAGAGAAAGCCTTTAGGTCAGCGGTTCTCAACCTGTGGGTCGTGACCCCTTTGGGGGTCGAATAACCCTTTCACAGGGGTCGCCTAAGACCATCAGAAAACACATATTTCCGATGACAATTCGTAACAGCAGCAAAATTACAGTTATGAAGTAGCAACAAAAGTAATTTTGTTTTTGGGGGTCACCACAACAAGAAGAACTGTATTAAGGGGTCACAGCATTAGGAAGGTTGAGAACCACTGCTCTAGGTAATGGTTTTTGAATCTTAATAATGATAACATTATCATTATTATGTGGTGGAAAGTGAGATGATTTTTCATGTTCATATTTGTACTGTGTGCATTGTTTGAATCCTTCATGATGTGCATTAACATGTTTAATACTTACAAAAGCTGTGGTGATGTTCTTCAAAATCAAAACTAAACAACAACAACAACAACATTGAAAGCATTTTTTAAAAATAATTAAAAGGAATCCTTTAGAATTTTTCTAAATGACCTAACTAATTTTCTCAGAATGTCCTTGAGAAAGGCACAATTTGGCATTTTGAATGGCAAAATTGGTCCTTGATCTTTTTCTACATTCATTTTACAAGCTCAACTCTTCTTTTTAAGAGGAACTGACAATGGCCAAGGGTGGTACTACTAAACAATCAACTGCTTATTCTTTCTTTCTTTATTTTTAAAAATGTTTTTATTAATTTATTTTTGTTACAGATGTTTCTCCTTTTTCACCATTGACACCCCCCAACCCCCTCCTCCTCCGCCGCTGCCCCATCCCCAGCATTGCTGTCTACATGCATTGGTTATGCATACATACATATAAGTTCTATGGTTTATCTCTTCCCTCCCCACCCCACCCCCTCTTCTGAGGTTTGTCAGTCTGTACCCTACTTCTATGTTTCTGGTCTATTTTGTTCATCAGTTTGTTTTGTTCATTATATTCCACAAATAAGTGATATTTATCATGTGATAAGTATCAGGTGATAATTGTCTTTCTCTGCTTGGCTTGTTTCACTTAGGATAATACTCCCCAGGTCCCTCCATGTTGTCTCAAAGGATAAGAGATCTTTCTTTCTTATAGCTGCATAGTATTTCGTTGTGTACATGCACCACAGCTTTTTTTATCCACTCATCTATTGATGGACACTTGGGCTGTTTCCAGATTTTAGCAATTGTAAATAGTGCTGCTATGAACATGAGGGTACATATATTCTTTTTGATTGTTGTTTCAGGCTTCATAGGGTATATTCCTAGAAGTGGGATCACTGGGTCAAATGGCAGTTCAATTTTTAACTTTTTGAGGTAGCACCATAGTGTTTTCCATAGTGGCTGCACCAGTCTGCATTCCCACCAACTGCTTCTTCTTTAAATTAGCCCCTCTTCTGGCTTTGCTAAAGCATGGTTCCTCTGCTATTAAAGATCTTATCAAATTTCATTTTGGTTGATGAAATTGTAAGGTCCCTGAGAGCAGGCACCAGGTCCTTTTCATTCTTGCATACAGGTAATCAATAAAATGCTTGTGGGTATGAAAAACAGTTTTTTAAATTTTTGTTAAAAGATTAAATCAGACTTCCGGTCAAGATGGTGGCGTAGGTAAATGCAGTATTGTGTCCTCCCACAACCACATCAAAGTTACAACTAAACTACAGAACAACCGTCCTTCCGAACCACCTGACACCGAGCTGAATGGAAGTCCTACAACTACGAGATTAAAGCAGCAGCCACATCCAGACTGGTAGGAGGGGCGGAGGCAGACAGGTTGGTCCCACACCCACATGTGGCAGATAAAAATTAGGAGGACACCTCAGCTGGGAAGGTCCTCCCTGAAGACTGAGGGGTCCCCGTCCCACACCAGGCACCCAGCTCAGGGTTCCAGTGCCAAGAAAAGAAGTCCCCATCACTTCTGGCTGGAAAAACCAGCGGGAACTGAGGCTGAGGGAGGCTGAAGCTGCTAGAGCCCCAGGAAGCTCCTTAAAGGGCCCACGCACAGACTTGTCAGGCTCACTTCCTCTGAGCTTGGAGGGGAGGCAGCTCGAGGGATGCCAGAGACATACAGGGAAGAAATGAGCTGTTTGACATTGGGACGAGGGCTGGAGGGGCAGCTTCTCCTGGACAGATGTGCTGGCAGAGGCCTTGTTCCTTTGGTGAGCCCTTCCCTGGGGCAGCAGACAGCTGCCATATGGGGCCTCCAGCAACCTGGCTCACACTGGTAGCCCCGCCCTGGTGATTCCCTGAGGCCCCTCCCCACCCAACTTTCAGGCCCACCCAAGCTGTTGCCAGATGATTAACCATAGGATTGACCTGTCTTGGATCCTGCTTCAGGTTTTCCTAAATTCTTTCAAACAAGGAGCAACTTGTCTCAGATAACCCCATACCTCTCGTTAAGTAATACAAACACAGGGAGGCAGCCAAAATGAGAAGACAAAGAAACAGGTCCCAAATGAATGAACAGAACAAAACCCCAGGAAAAGAACTAAGCAAAATGGAGATAAGCAACCTAACAGATGCTGAGTTCAAAATACTGCTTATAAGGATGCTCAATGAACTTAGTGAGATCCTCAGCGAACTTAGTGAGGGCCTCAAGAGCATAGAAAAAGACCAGTCAGAAATGAAGGAGGCACTGACTAAAATAAAGAATAATTTACACAGATTGAATAGTAGAGAAGGTAAAGCCAAGAAGCAAGCCATCGATTTGGAATATAAGGAAGCAAAAAACACCCAATCAGAACAGCAAAAAGAAAAAAGAATCCAAAAAAATGAGGATAGTGTAAGGAGCCTCTGGGACAACTTCAAGCACGCCAACATTCACATCTTGGGGGTGCCAGAAGGAGAAGAGAGAGAACAAGAAATTGTAAACCTATTTGAAACAATAATGGCAGAAAACTTCCCTAACTTGGTAAAGGAAACAGACATACAAGTCCAGGAAGCACAGAGAGTCCCAAACAAGATGAACCCAAAGAGGTCTACACTAAGACACATCATCATCCAAATGCAAAAGGTTCAAGACAAAGAGAGAATCTTAAAAGCATCGAGAGAAAAGCAGTTAGTTACCTACAAGGGAGTTCCCATAAGACTGTCAGCTGATTTCTCAAAAGAAACTTTGCAGGCCAGAAGGGAGTGGCAAGAAATATTCAGAGTGATGAAAGCAAGAATCTACAACCAAGATTACTCTATACTGCAAAGCTGTCATTTAGAATCAATGGCCATATAAAGAGTTTCCCAGACAAGGAAAAGCTATAGGAGTTCATCACCACCAAACCATTATTATATGAAATGTTGAAAGGTCTTCTTGAAGAAAAAGATAAAAAATGTGAACAAACAAAATGGCGATCAGTACATATCTCCAACAATTGAATCTACAAACAAAATGAACAAGAAGAACAGAAACATTCTCATAGATATAGAGAACATTTTGTTGGTTGTCAAATGGGAGGGGGGTTGGGGGAATGGGTGAAAAAGGTGAAAGGATTAAGAAGTACAAATTGGCCCTGGCCGGTTTGGCTCAGCGGTTAGAGCATCAGCCTGCAGTCTCGAGAGACCTGGGTTCAGTTCCCGCTAAGGGCATGTACCTTGGTTGCAGTTTGTCCCTGGCCCTGGTTGGTCGTGCGGGTGGCAGCCACTCGATGTGTCCCTTTCACATCAATGTTTCTCTCTTCCTCTCTCTCCCTCCCACTCTACCTGAACAAAAAATGTCCTCGGGTGAGGATAAAAAAAACAACAAAAAGAAGTACAAATTGGTTGCTAGACTGACAAACCTCAAAGGGAAGGGGGCTAGGGGGTGGGAAGAAATAAACCAAAGAACTTATTTGCATATGTGCATAACCAATGGACACAGGCAATGGTATGGGAAAAGGCAGGAGGGGGGCAGGAGTGGGGAGGAGGGGATCAATGGGGGATAAATGAGGAACATCTGTAATACATTCAACAATAAAGATTTAAAAAAATTAAGTTATACACTTTAAAATGATCTATATGGTGTCCATAGGTAATAATATTGCTTTCCCCTTACATTATAATAAATAACTTTTACTAATTAAAAAAAGATTAAATT